CCTTTTTTGAACAGGTACGAAAATAGAAAAGGTCATCCTGACCTGATGACATTACCTCCAGAGATGTCCAGAGTGATTGTTGTCAGATAATCTTTCGACGACGACAGGCTGTGGCGACGAGCCTCAGGAGTGACTGTGATTCTTTCTCCTAGTGTAGGAGGACGAGACTTCAGGAAATGAGACCAAGGAGTGAACTGTGATTCTTTCACCTAGGTGAGGACAAGACTTCAGAAATGAGACCAAGGAGTAGATTGTGATTCTTTCTCCTAGTGTAGTGAGGACGAGACTTCAGAAAGAGACCAAGGAGAGATTGTGATTCTTTCTCCTTAGTGTAGTGAGGACGAGACTTTATATCGAAATGAGACAGGAGTGACTGTGATATCTTTCACCTAGTTGACAGTGAGGACAGACTACAGTGAGACCAAGGAGCGTATGAATCTTTCAACTAGTTTGGGACAGACTTCAGAATGAGACCAAGGAGTGACTGTGATTCTTTACACCTAGTGAAGTGAGGACAAGACTTAGAATGAGACCGAAGGACACACAGTTTCTTACTAAGATTTATATAGACAGACGACAAATATTTCGTGACTTACAAAATCCGGGTTTTGACGTAAAGACTGCGGAGGACGATCTTACTACTGGTAGGTCTAGAGTCCAGAAGTCCCTGACGTAGTCTTTTAATCCTAGATATGTTCTTTAGGTGATAGTAAGCTGATTTAGTAACTGTTTTAATGTGACTGTTGAAACTCAGGTCAGAGTCCATGACTACACCTAGATTTCTTGCTTTATCTGTTGTATTGAACATTGCAGGCTGAAGCTCAGCGCTAACTTTTATACGTTCTGCCTTGGCTCCAAAAACCATTACCTCAGTTTTATCTTTGTTTAATTGGAGAAAGTTCTGACACATCCATTCATTGATTTGTTCAATGCACTTACTCAGTGTTTGAATTGGAGCATAGTCTCCTGGTGAAATTGTTACGTACATTGTGTGTCATCTGCATAGCTATGGTAACTTATTTTGTTGTTTTTCATTATCTGAGCCAGTGGTAGCATGTAGACGTTAAAGAGAAGAGGCCCCAAGATGGAGCCTTGAGGTACCCCACATGTCATATTTGTCAACTCAGATGTGTATTTACCTATAGAAACAAAGTTGTTTCTGTCCTTTAAGTAGGATTCAAACCAATTTAGAACTGTTTCCCAAAGTCCCACCCAGTTTCCCAGTCGGTCTAGTAATATGTTGTGGTCAACAGCGTCAGACGCAGCACTGAGATCTAATAATACTTACACTGAAGTTCTGCCACTGTCTGTGTTTAAGTGGATGTCATTGAAGACCTTTACAAGAGCAGTCTCAGTGCTGTGGTTTGGACGAAAGCCTGACTGGAACACATCCAACCAGTTATTTAAATGCAAGAAATTACTCAACTGTTGAAAAACAACTTTTTCAATGATTTTACCTAGAAATGGCAGGTTTGATATCGGCCTGTAATTGTTCATTACTGAAGCGTCTAGATTATTCTTTTTTAAGAGCGGTTTAATGACTGCAGTTTTCAGGGCCTGTGGAAAAATACCTGAGTGAAGAGATGTGTTTACTATATGAAGTAGATCTGAGGCCATGCAAGGAAATATTTAAAAAATCCTGTTGGAATAATATCAAGGCAGCAGGAGGAGGATTTCAGAAGTTGAATAATGTCCTCTAGGTTTTTATCATTAATCTGATGGAACTGTGTCATGGTGTTATAATTGATATTAGGTGGACATAGGGAAAACACATTTGCCGTACCTGATGCAGAGGCACTGACTGCTTGTCTGATTTTCTGAATTTTCTCAGTGAAGAAGGAGGCAAAATCATTGCACACCCTGGTGGATAGAAATTCAGAGGCTACTGAAACTGGGGGGTTAGTTAGTCTGTCGACGGTAGCAAACAAGGCACATGCGTTGTTTTTGTTTTTGGTAATGATATCAGAGAAGAAAGACTGTCGTGCGTTTTTCAATTCCAAATTATAAAGGCCAAGTCTCTATAGATTTCAAAGTGAACCTGGAGATTGGTTTTTCGCCACCTACGTTCAGCTTTTTGACACTCTCTTTTTTAAATAAATAAACATTGATTGATTGATTGAGATAGATAGATAGATAGATAGATAGATAGATATATAGATAGAAGTTTAAAACGACAATTCATAAAATGTAGATTTAAAGATAGTTGACCTGCCATGGTTTCAGTTCCTAACACACACATGTTTGCAGATGATATCCTGAATAGTTTTGGACTGATTACTTCCATGTCTTTGTCTAAATCTGAAATGACACATCAACATGAATTTAAAGGATGCAACCAGCCTTTGATTTCACCTTTATTAACCCAAAATACATTGCGTGCAAATCAATTATCCCGTGGTTCAATTGTTTCGACCGATTTAGCAGAAAATATCTTATTTCTCTGTGTTTCGTTGGCTGCTGATGATGATCAGCGACTGGAGGTCAGAAATAATTTCGCTTCTTAATCTAACAGCTGCAGGGCTGCAGGCGGAGGAGAGGAGGAAGAGGACGAAGGAGGATGAAGACGAGGAGGTTCATAAAACAGAAAGTGATGGCTGGAATAACTGTGACCTCGGGGAAGAGATGAACGGATTAAATAAAAAAGACGAACGGAGGACGAGATGATGAAAGACAGCAGGAGATGGAGGGAAGATTCAGAGACAGAGAGTCCAGCTGTATTGAATTCATTAATCCAGATGATCTAAACACACAACCCCGGGCTATAAAGTGTGTGTGTGCGTGCGTGCGTGCGTGCGTGCGTGCGTGCGTGCGTCTGATGTAACTCTGAGTCCTCGTACGAACTTCGGTTTTCATCGTATTTCATGTTGATTAAGGAAAACTCAATCCAACTAACTTTATTATTAACAAAGCAAAGCACAGTCAGTTAGCAACTTTCCGATGAGTGTTGTTTAGTAAAGCACCACTCAGGAGGACACCCACCACGTGCCCATTAGATCCAGTTCATCCCATTTCTTCACGCTTCCCTCCTCCCAGCTACACTCAGCGTTACTCAGCGTCCATGTTTGTAAACTGCCAGAAATCAAAAAACAGATTCGACAGCAGACAGATTTCAGATGTCACTTTCCTTCCTGTCCCCTGCAGATCTATCTTATTTTAACATTTATTTTGTTGGGCCAATTATCAGAGGAGGATGGAGGGAGCGGTCAGCGCCAGATGGACAGATTGCAACACATGAGCAGAGACTTGTGGGTAATTTGGCGTGATGATGTGATTTGATGCTACGTCTGAGGCTATTTTGGAGAAAGAAAAGCTGAGTCCATGTCTCTATATGTTCACCATCTCATCAGGAGGCAGGATGAACGGAGGGGTTAATAATACATGGAGAAAGAGATTGGAAAAAAGGAAGGAATGGATGAACTGATATATGATGGAGGAGGAGGAGAGGATGACACACTGAGGAATGAATGAAGAGTAAAAGGCTCAACTAATGGGGAGAATTGCCTAATTACATGAAAGGCTGGTTTCCTTGATGGATAGCTAGGTGGGTTACATTCTGAATGAATATATGGATGAATGGCTGACTGGATGTAATATATGGATCAAATAAAGGGAATAAAAGGCTGGATGGATACGCAGGTGGACTAATGAGTGAATAAAGGGTCGGATGATGAATAGAAGGTATAGATTGATTGATGGATGGATGTTTGCTAGAAGAAATGCTTGGTGGATGAAAGAATGGATGGATGGATGGATGAAAGAATGGATGGATGGAATAATGAATGGATGGATAGAAGAATGGGTGATGGATAGATGGATGGATGGATGGATGATGGGTAGATGTTTGCCGTATGAAAGCTGGATTGATGAGTAAAAGTCTAGATTGATGACTGCACAGATGAATGGATAGAATGGACGGATGAAAAAAGCTGAATGGATGAATAATTGAACAGATAAACAACTGCATCAATAAATGGATGGGTGGGTGCATGCTGGATAAACGGGTAAACTAGTAACTATAATGGATAGAAGGATTACACTCTTTGCTGTTTGACTGGAAGGATGAATGAGTTATATTACTCTATTTTTATTTTTTTTATGACTTTGTATACATGTATGTATGTATGTGTATGTATGTGCATGTGTACATGTGTGTGGGTATGTACACACATGTATGTGTATATGTGGGTATACATATGTGAGTATATGGGTACATGTATTACTGTTGCTATTCTTTATTTAATTTTCTTTTAATATTATCTTCTACATTACTTTACTTTTACCTATATGTATCTATTTATTTAGTTAGTTATTTAATTTACTAGCTAGGACCGGGAGGGGGCGAAAGGGAACAAAATATATATATTGACTTTATAAATGTAAACTCATTGTGCCTGACTCAATAAAAAAAAATATTAAAAAGAAAACATGTTAATCATTCTTATAAGTCGTTTTTTTCATATTTATTTTGGACTGACTTAAGAACATCTTGGTTGTTGCACTTTCAATATTTATTTTACTAATCAACCTATTACAATCCTGTTGTAAAGACATATGTTTTGGTATGTTTTTAATTTCTTAGACCTGTATCCAACCCTGCTTGTAAAAAAGTACTGTTGCCTCCTCTTAGAAAACATGTTAATCATTCTTAGTCATGCATTAGTGTTATATATTGACCAAAAGAAAAACTGGTCAAATTGTAAAAGCAGAGTATTTTAACATTTGTGGTCTACTAGAGCTCTTCATTGATACCTTTGTTACTATTAACAAAGGAAAATAAAAGGACACAAAATCAGTGTACACGCTTTAAATTTGAAAAAGAGTAAAACAAAAAGAAACAACAACTTTAGAAACACATTCTCTTTATTATGCAAATACCAGAACACACACTACATGACAGTAGCTTATTATTTCTCAGAGGGCATGCTGTGAGTGGAGATGCTGATAAGAGTTTATCCGTTGCACATATCCGTGCTGCAGCAGGAGGAAGAGGATATACCCGGACGATTCAACATCATGCAGTCAGTTGCTGACAAGCAGCCCTGCAAGAAGTTTGGATCTGTGAAGACATGGGAAAAGACAGGATTTAGAATTAGGGGTAATGTGTCTTTTTGTTTTAATAATATAATTATTGGTGGCATAGAAAAGTTCTTACTGGATCCAACAATATTGATCACTTTGGCACAAACCCAGATTCTACCTAAGCAGCTATCCTGAGAGCTTCCACACTTCTGCAGACCTCCACAGTGACACCTCAATGCTTCACCTGCAAGACGAAACACATCTTCAACATGCTAATCAAACTAAATCACTGCAATTCCATTTGAATTTGTGATACAATAGACTTCAGGTTTGCAGGTTAACTCACTCTGGCTGACAGCCAACAGAACAAAAAGAGCAACAATCACAGTCTTCATGTTTTCACGATTTATCTGGTTTCTGTTTAAAAAAAAAAGAAGTGTTAGAAAGTGTTATAACAAAAATATCAGAGCACAATTACACAAACACAAAGATATCTCACCTGATGAATTTCCCTTCTGTGGTGTCGGTTCCCTGCTTTCCTTTATAGACACTCCAGTTGCGTAATTGTTGCATTACATAGGATGTGGTGTAAGTTACACACACTTACACACAGACTTACAGGAAATGCAATGTTCAGCACAATACATCCCTAAAACAATACATAGCATGAAACCACAGAAAGTGGAAATATTAGGACAACTGATGATAAAATGTTCCCTAGTATTGTCAACTTTGTGTAATAAGTTAGTGATGTGACTTTATTAAACCGGTCTGAGCAATAAAGCTGCTGAGTGTGATTTGAAAGTACAGTATATGAAATAAAGAGATGTTTCCACCTGATTTTTTTCTGAACTTGACAGTAAAATACACAGTATCAGCACTAAACTGTTCCTGATCAAATCAAATGTTGTAATCATCATCAACATGTCCTCATGTGCTTGTTCTCTAATGGAGTTGTTGACCTGAACTGTTGAAATTCAGCCAATGGACATGAAACACACAGAATAAACATGGATCATTAAAGAGTTTACTTCTGAGTTTCTTGTTCGAGCATATTCCCTCTCACCAAACACATGAACGATACTGTACGTTCTTATATAATCGGATGAGAGTCAAGACGGATCAGCTAAAACAAGAGATAAACCAGCGTTCACTGAACACTAATGAGAGAAACAACAGCTGCCCTGTCCTTTTTTTTATTTTTTAAAAGCCAACTGGTGACTTTCTGTGTTTTTCTTACATGATATTTGAGTTAACTTGTAAGTAAATGGATAAATGTATTTTTTTACCTTAAATATCTTCAGATATAAATCTTAAAACATCTACATGTAAATGATTAGTTCAATTTAAGTTTGATGACAATAATTACTATTAAATCACGTGTCTTGGAGGTGTTGCTGATTATTTTATTTGAGATTTTAGGGGGTTCCAAAATGTTAATTAAAACGTGTTTTACTCAGTTTTGTTAAGAAGTATAAATACTTGTGTTTAACGATAAGTATGGACGAGCTGTTGTTAATATACATGGTGTATTTATAAACCACAACTATGTGATTTTTTCTCGGGTAATAATTCATAAACAACACACTATATGAATCTCCTATGATGACAAATAAATGTATGCAATAATACTGTGGAACATAGAAACATGGACAACAACCTGCAGAAAACAAAACCTTGATGAATGAAGAAACAGGTCAGTACTTCCTGATATCTGTCTCTCAAATAACAGGAAGTGCCCAAATTCCTTTTCAAAATAAAGTTTAGAGCATTGCCTCAATGAAAAAAACATTTAAAATCCTGTCAAGTTTATCTAAAGCTTTGACACAAATATGTAATATACCTAGAATATATTTAAGCTATATATTTTAAAGAGAAGTTTAAATACATTTCTGCATACTTTATTTTGTCAGCCAAGGAAAAAGTCATTCAGAAGTACAACAATCCTGAACACTCTGAATATTGAGTTGTTTTTCTCAGTAAGTATTCATATTCTGTAAATTAAAGGTGGGGTAGGTAAGTTTGAGAAACCGGCTCGAGATACACTTTTTGTTATATTCCATGGAATGCTCTTAACATCCCGACAGCAATGAATATCTTAAGTGCTTTGACAAAAAATCCATAAAAAACCCTACCTGCCTGTCAGCCTTACATCTCGTGCACAAACTTATCTCGTGCCCTCATTGGTCATGTGCGCGTTCGTGTGTGTTGGAGGAGGGGCTCTGTAAGGAAGTGGCAGATTTTTTCCGGCTGTGTATTTTCAAATTCTTGCACACTCGAGCTGGTTTCTCCAAAATGAACTACCCCACCTTTAAAGATAGAATTGAAAATGTAATCTGATAATGTTTTCCTCTAAATATGTATTTATTTAAATATTGTTTGTAGAATTGTAAATCCTTGAGAAATACATGTTCAACATTTGTTTTGTGTTGACAGAGCAGTTAAAACTACTCATAATGTCTCGGTGAGGAAATGTATTCAATATCTTTAGGAGCGCATAAAACTGGAGATCATAAGAATAATAAATGATGTATTTTGTCCTGCTTATAGATTTATAAAGATATTTATAGATCAAGAAGTAAAGAATGCTGAACTGAGAAAAACATTGAATTTAAACCATTAAACAATCTATGCTGTGTGATGCACCAAATCAATTCCCTATATATGTCATTTTTGTTCACTGGCATATTAAAAAACTCCCCCCCTCTGACATGCTTGCCTCATAAATACAGTATCCATGTACACAATCAACAGGTTGTCATGTAGAATGCTTACACATTGATTTGGAAATAAACAACTTTACCATGCAAGGAGGTTACAGGTATTATCAACAGCAAATTGCTCTGAGGATGTTGGAAAAAATAAACAGTATATACTGGAACATTTATTTTTAAAGACACACAGTAAATTCAAGATAATGCACAAATAACATGCTTTTGCATAGAAATGGTGTAGATTGGATTTTTTTTTTTAATATGAAAGCCCAGGAATTAAGAGTGGGTATATTCAGCACACATTGACAAACACTGTAAGAAGTTGCATTATATTCAGTCAGTGAGTATGCACCTGAAACAGTTTAATCTGTGAGGTCTGGAGACCACGACTGCTCTTTGTTCTGAGTCTGGACGCCAATGCTGGCCCTTCGCGACGACGTGCTCTCGCTGTCCCTGCTCTCCATGGAGCCCCCGTTCCCCAGCAGGCACTCCAGACTGGTGTGCTCCATGGAAGACGGGTCGCCCAGAGAAGGACCGGGTTCTAAAGCCTCCATCCATCCATCTTCTCCCGCTTATCCGTGGTCGGGTCGCGGAGGTAGCAGTTCCAGCAGAGAGCCCCAAACTTTCTTTTCCCTGGCCACATCAACCAGCTCTGACTGGGGGATCCCAAGGCGCTCCCAGGCCAGCGAAGAGATATAATCCCTCCATCTGGTTCTAGGTCTACCCCTTGGTTCTAAAGCCTCCGATCCTTAATCCAGGGAGGATCCAAGAGGGTCGGGTGGCAACGTGGGTGCAGAGGCAGAGGGGTTTAAGTCCTCCATGTGTAAGATAGAGTTGTCCTGTATCAGATTGTGGGATGTTGGGGCGGAGATCAGAACACAAATGTCCTCCCGTGAGGCTTGTGAAGAGCTGAAATCAGGGGGCAGACAGAGGTGGGGGTAAGAGCTGGGCGGGGAGTCCAGCAGGCTGTGTGTGGACGTAGCTGGACGGGCGCCGGACAAACGGCAAGTGTACTCATCTCTCTCACTGGGAGGGTGGAGGCACAGAGTGGGCTGGGACTGGCTGATGGTGGTGGGGCTCGAACTGAGAGGTCTGTTGTCGGAGTGTTTGTGCCCAGGTTGAGGCGCCAGGTCTGGGCATCCACCCTGGAAGCACGGGCTGACTCTGAGAAGAGGAGGGCTGGTCCGTGGATGTGTAGTCACGCTCTCAGGACCAATGGGGGCAGAGTTTGCAGAGAGACAATAGTTTGCAGGCGGACTCGAGGATTGGTTGCTCACTGTTAGCGTCTCAGCAGCTCCACCGTAGCTCAAGTTGGAAGCATGCGGGACACCTTGGTGGATCCCAGGGTCGTTATGGAGGTGGTAGGTTGGAGGTAAGTTGAAGGGCGTGCCGGGGTCGGGGGCGACGAGGTGGCCAGACACCATTTGGACGCCATACGGATATGAGGCTTTGTAGTGATGTACAGATAGATGAGACTGGAGAAGGTGCATCATGTGTTGCAGGCTCCTGGTGATCTCAGATACTTCCTGGTTTAGTGAGCCCATCTGCGTAGAGAGGGCACAAAGTTTAGCTGTGACGTAGTCTTTGAACAAATTCTTGCCTACCTTACATTTTCTATATTTACACTGAGCAATGGAGGCAAAGCACAGCTTCAAAGTACAAACAAACAGTTTTGCCCAATTGAGTCCCCCATTCATCGTCTATCTTTGAGGTTAAATATTGGATTTATGTCCAGGTATAATTTTAAGATGGCCTCCCAAAAAAGAAGCAAACCCTTTTTAATCCCCTCTATGACTTTTAGAAATGGCTTCTTATGCGGTAGTGAAATCCAGAGGGACACAAAGTGAGGTAACTGACGCAAATAGGGAAGGAAGCAGACAGGGAACTGAGTACAAGGGAGCGAAACAAGAAGAAAAGGGAGCAAAAAGTAGAGCTAGGTTGCCATCTTAACTTTTTCTTTTCTTCAGATTGACGAGTCAGCACTCCTGGCTACCCTCTGCATTGCAGAAGTGCCCTGCTGATTAATTAATATGAACCTCACACAGGACCTACCTGGGCCCATCTGGATCCTCCCAATGCACCTTCTTTAGATTTATTTACATTCAGGTGAAGAGTGCAGAGCAGACTGAGATATAAGTAAAGACTACTTCCCCCTGTGTACGTGCACAAACATGGCTTATTCTGGATGGGATGCCAGAAAATAAAAGAGAACATATGTTGAGTTTCCTTCTTATTTTGTTTGCTCTAAAGTTAATTTTAAGACTGAAACAATATATTTAATACCAAAATAGCATGCAGATCATATTTTCTAGTCAACATTTCATCAATGCTACTGTAATTGTATTTTATATGCCCAAAATACTTTAAACGAAGAGAGGGATTCCAAAATAATATATTCAGATATTTTAGGCTACGTTTCCTTTGGTCCGATCAATGTGACTTTAGGTGATGGGGCTGTACCTTACCTTTTGGTTGAGTTGACTGATGCTGTGTCGGACATCCTCTGTCTCCAGCAGCAGAGCGGCATTAGCCTGTGTTAAGTCTGGGTAAAACAAAAAGAGGTGGACTGAGTATGCACTGCATGCATACAGTTGAATATTTTACAAGTAAATGTGTTGGACTTCCACTGAACTGAATGTAATAGTAATCCCAGAATGATAGCAATCATCAGTAAGAGCTCCGGTCACACTATGTACGCTGCTTTGACCCCTGTTGTCCTTTTACATGTTCTCTGACTCTTTGGACACATGGCTGTCATTTAATTCCCCCTGCCCTCTCATATTTCTCCCAGAAGGACGTGGGGAACATTATTGGATCCACAGTTTGACCTCTTGAGTTTACCTCCAGCCATCTGGCACCCGGGTGACCCTCGCAGCTGGAGGCGGGCTCTGCTTACCTTGGGTGCTGCCTCCCGTGCTGGCTCCGGGCCCGCTGTGCTCCACGTTGAAGTGGAATGCGTGTCCGTTGTCTTCGATACCGTCTACGAGCCTGGCAGGGAGGAGAAGCTGGAGTTAATGTAACAGTAGAGCTTTTTCAATTATCATCAGAGCTATCAGAGGGCACAGGATTGGGCCATGAGATCTGCTGTTGGCAGGGGCCCATGAGGGTTTGAACATGAGGAGGAGAGCCCGGTCTGGAGGGGCGGACACCCGAGCTCTCTGAACCAGCACGCACCCATATCTCGGACTTACTGGATGACTCAGGGATACATTATGAATACAGATGGTTGGGGCAAGAGGATAAGGTGCTCTGGTAATGAAATGCAGTGACATCTGCTGAAATATGCAATGCAAATACACTCCATTTACATTAAGTGGATAATTCAAGTACCTGTGGCACGACTTTAGGTGTCTGTTACTGCGACACCTTACTTTAATCCGTCAAAGACCATCATAGATATGTAGTCTAGTTGGATGATGTCGATGGCACAGGCAGGTTAGTTAATACATTGTTATGTTATTTCTTAAAGGGGGGAAATTATAACAAATATTACTTCATGTAAAATAATTGAAAAAGGCTCTTACAAAAATGTATGTAGCTCTTCAAATAATATGGCTTATTTAAAGCTAATTTACTTGCAAGACTCCTGCTGTTCTAAATTAGTTTCCTCATGGTTGATTGCACATAAGGAGTTGCTTTGGATAAAAGCGTAAAAACAGCGTGATGCCAACGTAAACAAGACATTTTAGTTAAGGATAGCACTAAGGATGAATGTTGTTCCTATATTGCATGGTATTGCATTACGATGAATGAATGGGTGTTCAAATATTTCAATTATTTTACATTTAAAAAGTCATTCTGGCTTCTTTTCTGCTTGTCTTTTTCATTTAATTGTATTTGCACAATACCTGGGACTGAGTTCAGGGGGTCCAAAGCAGGTAACGGTTGGGATGAGCAGCTTTGAAGGCTTTTGCTCGGCCCCCGTCGCTACCTGAGCTGAAGTTGAGGCTGTTGAGGATTTAGGGGAGGAGTTGTGCTCTTTTTTGGACGGCAGCTGTGGGGACGAGCTCTGTCCGTGGACGGCACGACTCAAGTTGGGGGAACGGCAGCGTCGCAGAGTGTTAAACTGACGCAACTCGTCCCCCAGGAGGTTCCCCAGAGAGGTGCGGCGAACAGGGCTGCTGAAGCTCGGCAGCAGGAGGTTTCGGCGGGAGCGGGTAGCCGGAGAGAGGGGGAAATCGTCAGGGTCATCCCCCTTTGTCTCCACGATAGAGGGGAGCCTGGATTCCTGCTAAAACAGTAAATAAAAATGTGACATACTGTAATAACTGGACCCTTTTTATTGAAATGTTCACTACCAAGGTGTGCATTTATCCTAAATCTGCCTGTTTTATTTTGAAGGATGGTGATGATTATACAATATATGGTGACACTGAAATATTACATTTGAAAGCTGCTGATTATTGTGTTATTTAGATTTTAAGATAAGATAAGATGGACCTTTATTAAACCCAGTGGGGAAATTCAATAGTTTAAACAGCAACAGGATGAGATTGAAAAACAGGACAGCACAGATTCACACAAGATTAAAGATTAATACAATTAAAGATACAAATTCTAAGTATACAGGTAAGTAACGGTTAAAATGAGAAATGAGATATGAGATATCAATGGGATAGAGCTGATCATATTTTCATTACATAATTCTGCTTGTGAGTAAAAAACTATTAACTTACATAAACTTTTAATGCAGACACAGTGAATTCTGTAAACAGTGTTTTAATAGTGGAAGAATAAGGCTGGAGATGAGCATAGAAAAGTAGCTCATAAGGTTTCCCATCAGGAGAGCTATACTGACCCAGTTAGCTAGCTCCAGGGACTAAGCCACTCTACTTTTAAATGGGGTTCAACCTGTAGGGGAAGTCCTAGCACAAACCCTCCCTCAGCAGCACTCACAAGCAATATATATAAGTCCCCTGAAAACACAGGAGTTTTACCTTAAAAAAACAGAAACGCAAAAACTCTGGAATTGATTTGACACAAATGCACCTTTAAAGACAATTGCATTGGGGTCTACTTTCAAAGAAGTCATGAACAGGCTTTGGAAAGTATTATAACTTACAACTACGTTCAGGAAACCGTGTGTGGTGCTAAAAAGAATAATGAGAGCCCTGAGAGAAGACAACTTAATTTGAACTCACGTGGTGAAGTCTGGGAGACCGTGAAAACCTGCTGAGACCCTGCAGTAACAAAAAGAAAGCGAGAAGGATTACAAAAGATAGTCTCGAACCAAAACTTGTTTTTCAAAATACATCTGTAACAAACCTTTAACTTGAATTTAAATGTATTTACACATTTGGGAATTAATGGTGCCTTTTGGAGTTTACTTATCGGCATACAGAAGTCATGTAGACTGAGGGCTGAACTATCACCTAAATATAATACAAATCAATACGGAACCATTGTTTGAGACATCTGTTTTTGACCTCCAAGTCTACTTCCAGTGGTCAGCAACACATTACAAACATTCATTGTTATTCCTTATAATACATTCTGAAAGATAACTTTAACTAACGCGGAATATATCTTGGCATGTTACCACCACCTGTTGATCAGTGGAATAGTGGGATGCCATTGGGAGCTCCATAAAGAAAGTAGAGGTCAAAGACTCCACAGGGAACATATTATTAATTTAGCTGATGTCTGGCCATTTTTAAAATGCATTAAATCCAAATGTGTCATTCTAAATGACCTTGGCCAGTGATAAAGCCTTTGCTTCACACTCTCTAAACTCGAATGCAGAAACATCCCAGTGAAGGTTTGTCTTTCTGCTGGCTAAATTGTAAGCAATTTAGAAAAATGGCCAGCTGGATGGGAAATGAAACTGTGGTAATGGGAAGTCTTCCTTCATGTGTGAGAAATATGTGCTTCTGACAACAGGGCTTAATGTGACAACACAAGCCACAGTCTATCGCTCTACCAGTGAAATAGTGCCAGTAATGCTCCTTGATGCAGAACGGCAATTCACAAAGGAAACACATTAAATGTACCGGTAATCCTTCATCGAGAACAATACTGAGTTTAAAAATCATAAAGACGGTTAAAAGGAAAACCTAGTTGGACTGCATCTCCACAGATAGTGCTGCTATGTGAAAGGAAGAGAGGACAAATATGTGAGTCTATTCAAGGCAGGGACTAATTCCCCCCCCTAACCCTGGGGCAACACGGACTGATTAGCCAGCCAGAGATATCGGTGCCAAATTAAAAAACATCAATATCACTTAATGGGCCACAGATGCCACAAGTGTCCTACATATCAAAGTGGGTTTGCAGAGACTTAATTGAGGCAAGGTTTTCTGTCACTTTTAAGTGTGCTGTCTTGACATACTTACAAAACCTTTTACAGACATAGAGAGTGTGTCAGTGTTTTGCATGATGGGCCACTTTTCAAATCCAGAATTCATTTTGTGGGATCTGTTTTTGCCATGAGGTATTTATAGTTCATTTTGAATCAGTAACAAAGAAATCCAAAACACAAGAGGGAAAATCTGCAACTATGGTATACAACCAGGTGTTATGGTTAGAAGATTAATCAATCTCACTAAATATCCGGAAATCGTGTTGGCGGATAAACTAGGTTTATTACAAACATTGTTGATCTATTCTACTAAAAGCATGAATTGAAAATGTCGAATAAAACCTTTTTTGTCAAATCTTCTCTGAGCTCCTTCAGTCCTGTCCTATCCAGTCCAACGTGTCATCAACATTTCTCTAGCTTTAAAGAAAACATTCTCTCTCCCACCACATGGTTTCCAGTGGCTGTCTTTATCAACTTTGTTAAGCTGTCGTTGTCATGTGAGGCTCCACAGGGGGTTGCTTCCCTATAACTCCTGACCGGCCAGCTTGTTCTTCACACTCCAAGTCTACCGACAACTTAACTCTCCCTGTGGCGACACGGTCCTTATACTCTGGCATATCTGAACTCAGTGCTGGTCCCCTGGAGGTGGAATGACCTTCCCACTCTGCCCAGGACAGCACAGTCCCCCCTTATCTCTCAAAACTCACAACCCCCTTAAGAAATAAACAATAGTCGAATTTGATAGAATTTGCATTCCCAATCATTTTACCTGACCTTAATCCTGCAGCAAGTTTTTTAAGGCACTAAAGGGAAACAAAAACATATTTGACATTGACATATCATTTCAAATTGCTAGAGGCTAACTGTGTTGGTATGCCCATTGGTGCTGAGCAGGTACAGCAGGTGTTCATTGTTTGTAATGATTTTTCACTGGCTGCAGCAAAAACAACTCTATGAGAGCAGTGGGAGTAAAGCCAAACATCAGAGTTGCGCCCCACAGCCAATCAATCAGCTGAAACTCACCGGAAAGCTCCGAAAGCCAAATGGGACCTGACCTTTCTAACAAATATGATTATGATACATTTAAATTATAGCCACGTTTAAAAAAAAAAATCGTTGAACTATTAGAGTGTTGGTAATCAAACAATTTTAACGTATTTGACTCCTACAGTTTAAATCCTAAAAGACTAACTTGAAAGTCAACTGTAAATGTTGGTCCGATGTTAAAAAGAAAACACAAACAAGTATTTGTCTCTGTTTGCATTTAACGAAGTGAAAGAAGCTGTGTCATGGCCTGGCTCTTGGCCATAGCAAAAACGTGGAACGGACACGATATAAGGAAGGTATTTATTATAAAGAAAACAACTAAACAAAAGAGCTACCACAATGGGATGTGTTAATCAGTAAGATCACTCAGTAGTGTAGGTGTGGGTGTGTGAACATGGTGTGGTGCAAGGTGTTGAATGCCAAACTAAGAGGAAGGGGGAAAAAAGCATAAGTCTGGTAGCTGCTCTCAAAAACAGATCCTCCAGCAAAGAGAGCGAACAAGACTCTGGCTCGAGCCTTTCACTCCTCCGGTACCGGCGGCCAGGTGCCCTCAATCAGCGCTGATAGGGAGGAAGGGAGATCTTTAAAAGGGCCATAGACACACAACAGGAGAGAGTAAAGCAGGGGTCGTCACAGCTATAAGATGTTATTGTTCTCTAACAAAAAAAACATTAAATCGAAATTAAATGGACACCACTGCAGTAAAAGTTCAAATGACAAGATAAAGAGGGATACCTTTTACTGTAATTGGCATTCCCACCATCTGTTTGTTTTCACTATGACTGATTGCTGTACAGTCAGCATACAATTCTTATAAGTATCTCTCAAGTGTAAAATAACCTCCCATCCTACAACAGCCACCCATTCAAATAAGGAGTGTGTGTGTGTGTGTGTGTGTGTGTGTGTGTGTGTGTGTGTGTGTGTGTGTGTGTGTGTGTGTGTGTGTGTGTGTGTGTCAGGAGTCTATTGGACCTGGCAGCTCCACCAGGCAGCTGAGCACTCCTTCATCCTGTCAGGGGGGG